TATTTTTTTAATGCTATTTTTATATGCTAAGTATATTAGTGTTTTTTTTGCTACTTTTGTTCGTACATTGTAGTTGTTGCACCTGCAATTATTATTGTTCCTCTCCCACTTACTGCTACGAGTTGAATGCATTCGCTGCGCTGCTGTCAGTTTTACTTTTATTGTTTCTTCATATGCATCAACTTCACTTTTTTAATTTCTTACTTATTTCATACCTTTTTTGTAATATTAAATTCTTTACAATACATAAATGCGCATAAAAAATATTTCATTTCTCTTTTACTCACATAATTTGTTCTACATACTTTCTTTTCTTTTACCTGCTCTAACACACTGTACTCGCTTTTTAACTAACTTCAGCTATTCTTTTTCCACCTATGGTTCTCATATTGTATTTGTGCTCTCGTTTTCAGTATTCATTTGCCCTCTCAGCAATCGCGTATTTGGCTTAAAGGGTGAATAGCAATTCGATTTCATGTAAAGTATTACATTGTGTTAAGGGCTAATTGATTTTTGCGATATTTAACTATTAAATATATGGAAATTGATACAAATTTACAACCTTATACCCAAGCCAATATCAAAACTCTTGGCATGACAATCTCTCAATTACTGCGCCCAAAACTATGCCACTAAAAATTAATTTGAAGTGTACTAATGCTTAGACTGCGGATTTTTATGCAAAAAACAGATTCTAAAAATGTGTATCACTTAACTATAAACAAAATGTATACAAATTTTTACACTTTGCATATAGTTCTGCTGTACATATTTCTAGGCTTCGTATTTTGTATAAAAATCCGCAGTCTACTAATGATGACAACCGTCATTGTTGTTGCTGTGACCTACTGAGTACGTGACAACGACGAAACAATGTTTATATTCTGCAGCATAGTTTTAGGCGCAGTAGTTATGACAATAGTCATAAAATGAGGTTTGTCATTAGCGTGGGATTAGGGCAGTTAGTACTTCTCTATGCGCTTCATAGCAAATAATAGCTATCATATATAAGAAATGTATTCTTAAGTAAAAACTTTCCATAGATTGGGATTTCCTTTACAATAGTTTGAAACGACTTTAGCAACTTATTTGGAAAATAACTCACCGATGAAATTGACATCAAAGTATGGTTAAATGTTTTAAGGGAAAAGGTGACAAAATAACTTACTTGGATTGACTGCAACAGCTTTCTCAAAAAGTAAGTAATTGAGAGTCATTGCCAATTCTAGTCAGCATCTCGTATTGTGAGTTATATGTCAAGCTGAGCACATTTCTTGACGATGACACCTAAATAAGAATAGCTTAGGTTAGTCCACTGTTTGGCTTGGCAGAGATCATTGAAGTCCATAGCGCTACAAGCAAAAGCTATTTAAGCCTGAAATTAAACAGCTAATCTCTGGGAACTCGGAGAAATGTTACAGTATATCGCAGTCTTTTGGCAAGCTGGAAATGTTTGTTATACCCAATTTTGTCAGACCCGTCCGCAGCCTGCTAAGAACTGGACACTCGAATAATGTGCTCCAAACTCTCTTTATTAATTTCGCATCTCCTGCAAAATTCATCATTGGCAGGCACCAAAATAAAGGCATGTAAAGCCAACAAACTGTCCTTTTCTCACACCAGTCTTCGGCCTCAATAGTGACCACGAAATTCAACTCAGAGTATATTTCCCTGCAGGGTGTGGTTCTATTGAGAAACCCGTCTCCCGTCTTCAAATTTTGGGTAACGACTCTGCGGGGAAACTGACAGGCCACTGCCCTATCGGGGTTCACGCAGTTTGAGTAAACACCACTCCAGACCCATTTAGTCGCAGGTGCGTGGTGAAATCATGTCCACACTCCCTCTTAGACAGTCCAGCTTTTTCTAGATTGTGCCACTTGGGTTCGCCCTTTCTAACTAGTTCGGAGGAACTTGCAGGGACTAACATCTGGCGCCTCCGAAACTTCGTTCTCGGCAAGCAGGGGTTCTCGCTTTAACTTAGCAGTTGCTGTTCGCAGTGGTATCACAAAGGACCAACGCCCACGTTCTAAGAGAGCCCCTTGAGAAGAAGTAACCGCCTTAACCCTAACCCTAACTCCCTGCGGAGAACCTCGAAATTTATTTATTTTTGTGATAGTGAGGTCGCCAAAGATTATAAGAAGTGTAGTTAATCTCTAAAAAAAGAATCGATGAATATCTTCCTCGGCGGCTTAAACAAAGAGGAGGCTTAGAAGTTAGGTGGTAAGCGCTCGTTAATGTAAGGGACGTAATGAAACTAACAAAGAGCACCAAGTGGTTCAGCAAAGCGAAAAAAATAACCTTTACATAATTTCTGATAAAAAAAACGACTGCCTAAAGCATGAAGATGACGAGAGTTTTGAAATAGCCACTATATATAACTTAAGAAAAAAGCTGCTTAGTGATTGTAAGAAAATTTGCATTTACTATATTGAAGATAAAACGTATACTTTAAGTCAAATGTTTCAAAGTCATATGTCGCAAATTGGAAATCTGAGCTTCCTGTTTTTGGACCAACTACTGGTTAATATTCAAATTTCTTTCAGAGCTACTGACAGATACATACTTATGTAAATTTACAATAAATCGCCATAATTCAAATTGCTAATCATCCTGTAAAATATTAGGCTGGATATCATTTCTTTCGAACCCTTATTATTGAACTCTTCCACATTTAGAAGAGTTTGGTACGATAGGGGGGACAAAGAATACGCGCAATGAAGAGCTTGGGGAGGGAAACGAGATTTTTGTTGAAAAGAACTTTTAAATAAAAAGCGCACAATGATTGAAGTATCATCTACGACTATTTTGCTCTTGTTTCACGATCAGTTTTTTATGTGCAATGTCTGCTAAAGATCAAACAGTGCTTGGAGTTTTCACGCGATTTTTGGGATGTCGAAAAAACATCGATGCATCGAAAATATCGATGTTTTGCTTCGATGCATTGAAAAGTTTCCACTCGATGTGTAAATAGTCGACGCATCGAGGCATCGGTGGGGAAAGTGATGGCTACTGTTTTTTTTTTTTTTTAAAGAAGGTGAGAAAAACTTCTAATAAGACCATTCACCAGACCCGTTTGTCGAAGCTAGGGATGGGTATCTCAGCAAATATTCGCGGGTAGACTCATTGACTCTAGCCAATTCCCTGGCTGAGTTTCCTGCCCTTCCTTGCTCATTTGCTCAATATTTATATCAACTTGTGACTTTCCCTTACTGAATACCCAAAGCGTATCAAGTTACAAAAATAGTCACTAATTTATAGTCTGAAATTTAGTAACTTGAGCGAAGACTGTTTGCAAAAAACTGCAAATATCCAGGGAAAATCTGTATTTTAGACAAAAAAACTGTAAAAATAGAAATGAAGAATTAAAAAAATTAAAATTTTTTGTAACTTTATTAAACATAGATAACAAAAAGCGATTCTTTCAAAATGAAATATCATAAACCGTTGTGGCAAAAATGAGATTTAGTAACCCTGAACTGCAGGCATCGACATTTATGCATAAAAATCTTAAAATCGTTATTAAAACAAGAAATGCCTTCAGAGAAAAACCGTTTCCCGCTCTCCTGTAAAATTTGTGTGCCGTGAGATAGGCGGTTTTGCAATTGGTCGATGGGCCCTTTTGCAAAATATCGACGTAACGTTTTTGAGCATTTGATCAAATTTAGTGCCTTCTGAATTATTATTGAAAGAAACATTTAGTTCTTAAAATACCAGAGAGTGCTGGAATTTCAAGTTCACTTATTGTTGCATTTATAATGATTTGGGAAAATACTCGTTCCGCATTTGCTGTGGCGACTGGAATGCAAGGGACAGCTGAAAAAGTTTGTCCCCTTATATCTTAAAAGTTGACATCAAAAAAACCGAAAGTGAAATTTTAAGTTACTCATTCAATTCGGAACTCTCGAAAAAACTGTAATTTTTAGTAGGAGGTAATTTAAACAACTGTAAGTTTGTCAAAAAAAACTATAATTTACAGTTAAAACTGTGAATATGGCAACATTGACATTAGCATTAACTTCATAACTTCTTTCTCTTCATGCCGCGTCTTTCTTGTCCAACCTTCGTAGGCTAACTCTTTTATTCTTCTGCTCGTATGCGTGTATATTTGTCTCTTTCTAAAGTACATACATATATGTATTTGTGTGTATGTAGTGGTAATACCTTTTAAATTTCTATTGCCTGTTGTCAACTTCAATTAATGCAAACTTTTTTTCTTATTCAATACATTCTGTACTCGTATTATGAATTACATAGTTCTAATCTAACGCGCCACCGGAAACGTGTGGTCGAATTGAAGATTTTTTACGCATTCTTTTCCGTGTGATTTTGTCTTAAATTAAGCACTTTTGTGTTAGTGTATGTACGTGTATTTCAATGTTTCATAGGAACAATCTCTGTTTTTTATTTTATTTTTTCCTTTTTTCACTTCTTTAATATTAGCTTTAAATATTATTCTATGCTAAATAAAAAAATAATTACCTTACACAGCTACATATGTACCGACAGTAGAATCCATTCATTTTGCACGATTTCTTATTCGTAACAAACACTCCTATTAACTAGTTTATGAAATAAGAAAACATTTCCTCCACAAATTGTCTTTGCTATAACGAACGTCCTCTTTTTAAATTGTTTTCTGTTTTTAATATATTTGTTTTCATTTAATTCTAAGACTCTTTTCAGTGTATGTAAATTAAACTGAATTCCATGTAGAATGTTTTCCTATTTAATAAATTTACTAAATATGTATATAACTATTTTTTTTCCTAGAATAGCTTAAGGTTTACTAAGTACTTTTTTGTTTTCGAAATACTCAACATATTTGTGTACGGCAGTTTGTTGTGAATTTTCCTTTTTTCCATTTCGTAAAAGTATTTGAATTTGCTTGTATTAAGTAACCATTTTGTTGCCAGTTTTCTTACATGCTACGCTTGTATATACATATGTATGTATGTATGTATGTACATACAACATACATACATTTTATTTTGTGTTCTCTGCTTTGTAACTAGTTTTCAGTTTTTCTTAAAAATTTAATTAACAATTTTTTTTTGTATTGATTTTTGTGAACTTTTCAATTGGTCTTTCGCCTAATTCAATAAGTATTGAGTAGTTTCACTTTTCTAAACTAAAACTACTTAATTGTGATGTTTTTTTTTCAACTTGCATTCCTACTCCTCTTATTTTTGGAAGTGTTTTTCCTCTGGAAAAAATATTTCTTTTTAAGGTATATATGTAGTTTGAATATGTCTATCCTATGCTTATGCTTAGGTCTCATATGCATTTAGGCTTATTGCACGATGATGTGTGGAGCCGACAGCAGAACGGTCACCGTTGCGATAATTGTAAAGAGCGTAAAAACAATCAAACAAAATCTGTAAAGATATGGAATTGATTATAAAATTGTTATTAAAGCTGCAAGCAAACAGTGACAATAATGTAAGCTACATAAGTTTCCTTATACATATGTATTTACATAAGTTTTTTCCAAAATGTTTAACCTTTGCTGGTGCCAAGGCTAATTAGCTTGACAGTTCTCGACACTTTCTCTAATCGTCTTCTAACCTTCTACCTTTGAGAAACATATAAGAATACGAAATGTTTTCTAATCGTTCTCTGACCTTAATGTTTGTTGGTTTTAGCGATGAGAGCACCATTTCGATATGTTTTCTCTAGAACCCCTTATATTAACTACCCTCATGATTCGTCGGTTTCGTCAAACCCCTTGGATAAGTTGATGAATCTATTTATGTTTGAAATGGAGCATCTGGAAATGTTCATACTATTTTGAATGGAGAATCTTCCTATTGTGTCATGCATTATACACGCCAATCCTGGGAACTCTCTGAGATACTGTAGGACCGTTACCTTACTTTTCTCCGGATTGCAGCTACAGCATCGTGGGTTGTACGGAAGGCCCATTTTGGCAGCATATTTACCAATGGGCCAGTACCTAGTTATCGTGGCTGGTAACCTAACTATAGCTTTTCTTAACCTCTTTAAACGTTCTCCGTTTTTTTTTTTTGTCGCAATGCTTCCATATATTTCTCGCAGATTTGCAGGGTTGAAAGTTATTCTAACGTGTCAGGCATATGTGCAAAAATTAAATGTAGTTCCCTTTTGATGAGTCCGAGTGGGGACTTTATTGTCTCTGCTTCGATTTCACCAAGATACGCCCCGATCTTAGCCAATAAATCAGTCGTCTCATTTCCGTATTATGTTCACATGGCGGGGAACCCAGATGAGGGGGATGTCTATTGACTCAGTCGTCGAGCCTAACGTGCATTTGCAAACCCTGACTATTTTAGACTTTATTACCGGTGAAGCAAGAGCCAGAGGTGGCTCTTGGCTATTAGAGAAAATCTACATAGTATGCTGTTCGTACTCTTTCGCATTTACATCCTAGGGCCCTCTCGATACACAGTACTCCTGCCAGCAAACTTTGGTCGTCGGAACGAGAGAGAGACATTCAATGTCCCGGAGAACACCACCTTCCGTCTAAAAAGGAACCTCACCTCATAGTTTTTCCTGAAACATATCCTTGCCGTTACACAGATCGTCTCCTTGTTTGAAAAAGCTTGTAAGAATACCACTATGACCGTGATCTCCAACCGCCTGAATCTTTGGGTATGATTGCCGGTGCTCAGCAATTTTACGAATGTAACACCTGCACAAGCTGCTCTTTGCATACTGCTTAGTTTCCGGACATTCTATTGTTTATATAGTGCTGGCAATCAAACTAACGCACCGTAGGTTAGTAGAACTTGGTATCTAATATGACATCAAAGTATTTAGCCTTCCGAGGCTAAACGTGCGAGTCCTTCCATTAAGGGAAGGTAGCTTGAAATGTGCTATCTTCGTTTTTTCGGCAAACAGCATCACTTCCGTTTTGTTAAGGGTGAAATCTAGACCACCCTTTGTGGTTCATGAGAGTAGCCTGAGCAGAGCTCCTTCTAAAATTTCGCCAATCGGGGGCTTTTCTTCTCACCTGATACCGCCACCCCTACATCATAGCATATGTTACTACCTACACTCCACGTTTTTTGAGATCCAGCAGAATGTCATCAAGTGCCACCACCATAGTAAGTATGGCAGAACTCCCCTTTGAAGAGTGTCTCTACTTGCGTAACGGGACAGTGTTGCTGAACCAGTGGTTTATATTCTATTTCTAAGCATTTGCTCGAGCCACTTGCATATGGGGTCATATGTTCCAACCTTTACCAGAGATTGAGCAATTACTATGTCGAGGAAGCCAACCGGCGTGTCCTACTTGTAATGGATTGATTTTTCTATGGTGCCCAGAACTACAAGAAAAGCTGCTTCTGTTGACCTGGCTTTGATGATAAACCGTAAATTTATAAAAAAAGGAAATCATCTCCAAAGACAATGTCTCCTGGGCCATTGGCAACTTTAAGCCATACGAGACCTCACAGCCAGATGGGGTCCCATCCATTCAACTGCAGCAATCATTGGACTGTAGTGCAACATCTCAGCATGCTGTAATAGAAGGACTTCTCACGTTCCCACGACAGTCGGATCTACGTAACCGGAACGACCCAGATTTATATCTGGCCAAGGACTGTCACTCCAGCAATACTCCCCAAAAAGTCTTTGGGGAATTTGTATGCTGCTACAACAACAACAACAAGAAGGACTTCTCACTCTCAACCACGTATCGAATAGGCGCGAGTTAAAAGTCGTACTCATCCCCGAGGCGGGGAATATGTCGCACATCAAGCCTAAGGACTTCAGAACTGTAAGTTTTTCGATTCACAAATTAAATACAATGGAGCGGCTTGCAGAGTTGCATATCAGGGAGGCAGTTGAGGCCAAGCTGTCACAAAACCAACACGCTTCCACCAAGGGTATGCCCACAGAAACAGCGATTCATGAGATCATGGCACATTTAAAATAACAATTATCCTTCAAAGGATATGGTTGTGTAGCAATTTTAGACATCTTTCACGCCTTCAACAACTTCTTGCTCTCATCGGAAATGACAGGGCTGACGGATCCACATACCAAATGTTGGGAGTCAGGGTAGTTCAGGCTGATTTGGCTTGACTTTCGACAAGCAGATTTATTCATAATGTGGAGTCCTATCTCTTTTTCTAGCAAACCAACTGCTTAGACATGCAGAAGAAGGATGGCAGCAATGCTCTTGCATATGTTGTCGATCTTGCAACAGTCGTAAGTGTAAAATTCCCGTTAACACTATGCGATGTTATGAATATGAAAGTAAGGAGCGCGGAAAAGTGGATCAGCGAAAACGGTCGAGGAGTAAACCGAAGCAAAACGGAGCTTATTTTACTCTTGCATGATGAAATGCACAAAAAGTACAAAAGGCGGCCGTACTATGCTCTGTGCACTAGAGCCATGGAAATGATACATGCTAAATAGATATACTGTCCATAAATTTTTTGGGAAAGCAAATTGCAGCAGGCGCAACAAAAAGACTGCATACTTACATAGTTGGAAAGCGAGTCACTGGTTTAAGAGGTTTTAAAGTAAAAAGCCCTTGCACCCACTTGATTCTATTCAGTTCTACACTGATAAAACCGCATTTTCGATAACTTATTTAACATAGTGCCATTCGCTCCAACTCCTATAAAATTAGGCAAACTATTCTTATACTTCTGACATGCTAAAATTCGATCTTGTTAAAATTAAGAGCTGAAAGCATCGCAAATCATGTCAAACTTGTTGCCAAGTTCGAAAACAAGTCAATAAGACAAACAGTTTATAAAGAAGACGGGGAAACAGATGGCCACCATTTGTCCACAGCTAAAGTTAAAGAAAGAGCAGACGCACTTGGAAGGAAAAAGTGTCCTAGATGGAATTAGAATGATAATGATACAGTATTATAAGTGTTTTCGACATCGTCAAAGTTCTGACAAGGCGATGTCTTATTGAAAAACATCATAATTTATCAGGAGCCCCAAAAGGAGCGGAAAGCAGCGGAAGATGATGAAATAAATAAAATTAACCTTTATGTCATTTGATTTCGATCTAACTAAATAAATCCGAGAATAAAAATAATCAGGGTTTCCTAAAACGCACTGACTGGTTTGAACTTAGGAGAAAATAAGACAGTGAGACCTACTTTGTCTATAAGAAAGCAATGGAGAGATCCAGATTCTCGTTTGGGGAGCTCGGTAAAAACGTTCTATAGCGACGGCTTAAAGACTGAAAATGGTACTGTAGAGGATGGCAGCTTGACAGTAACTTTAGATGTTTGCTGCTGCAGGTATAATGGCAGCGGTCTCCCAGTCGGAAGTCTTTCCAATTCTGGATAATAGCAGACTGGATAATTACCGAAAAGTGGCGTGGACATAAAATAAAAGTCTGCAGGGGCAGCCAATTCCCTTTAAAGGCCTTGTAAACCGCCCGCATCTTTTTACAAATAGTTCAGAAATGTAAATAAGTTTTGGCCGAACTCCTGAACTGGCTTTTAGGACCAAGCCCAACGGGAACAGCCTGGCACATCAATGATTTAATTAATAAAGTACTGACACCTGCATAATAAACAAATGTTTCTTGAAAAGGCCTGACAGGATGGTAGCAGATTGAGAAGAAGTGGGCTGCGAACTCTGATAGCACTAATTACGGCGCACAATTATTGGGGAGGTCATGTGGCCCCCATAGACATCATTGCCGATGCGCTGTTTCCATCTTGTTTGGAAATTGAGTATAGAGTTCAGAAAATGGTCTCTTTACCTCGACAAACTTCTAAGATTTATAAAAGAGTCTGGTAAGTTTGCCTAAGTCCAATGAATTTCCATTCTACTATGGGGAATATATACTGAGAGCTTGGAAAAATCGTTTTCGGGTGTTCCGACCATCCACAATTCCATTCCATTCAATTCCAAGTCAGGTTTCAAATAAGATCTGCGCCTAAACAGGATTCACATACTATGTGTGAAATGTATCCTGGCAACCTTCACAACCAACACATTCTGGACTTAAGAGTTAAGTCAGTTAAGGCCCACAAATTTTCACTAAGTAATCTGTAAATTGACTAAACCCTTTCAATGAGAATCGCTTTACGGGCTTTATTCACAAGTTGGTATACTTGCATTTGTCGAATTACGCCAAAGCATTGAATGTCAACCGGCAGCAAGGTAATTTCAGCCTTGTGGTCATAACTGCATCCAAGTACACATAAGTGTTACACATACATATGTATGTACATTGGTAAGTCTGTAGACAAATCTTTTGATACCGCTTTTTGATAATCGAATCCTCTAAGTGGTCGCAAAACCAATACTTATATGTTCATACAAACTAATCTTTAAACGCTCAGAAGGAGCTCAGTGCTTCTGTGTTAATAGTTCCCGAGAGGCATAAACGCATAAAGGAATGAAGGAAATCGAAC